CCACCAAAGCTGACTGGTTGTGCATGGCCTCAGGGCACCGGTTGTACGAATGGCCAACCTTATCACACAGATTGCACCTGATGATATTACAATCCTTAGCCAGGTGCCCCAGATCCTGACATAGAGAGCACTTCATCTCTGGGCATGAGGAGGCGAAGTGACCCCAAGAACCAGATGCCCCAGATCCTGACATAGGGAGCACTTCATCTCTGGGCATGAGGAGGCGAAGTGACCCCAAGAACCAGATGCCCCAGATCCTGACATAGGGAGCACTTCATCTCTGGGCATGAGGAGGCCAAGTGACCCCGAGAACCGCACTTATTGCAGAGCTTGGGCTGTCCAGGGTAGTAAACACCACAATCCTGTCCTTCCCAATGAAGGCTGAGGAGGGCAGATGCTGGACCACATTCCCACACACATACAACCTCATCTGCACCGACCACCCACCAGTCCATATCCCTCTCTCATCCACAATCTTCTTCAGGGGTGCAAGTAGCTCCCCAAATCTCCTCAGCCAGACAGCCAAGTCAGCCGAAGGAATGGACTCATTCCGTACTAGAATGGTGACCGTCTTCACTAGAGGTTGGCGTGAGACCACCTTTGGGACGAGTCCCTTCCACTCCGGCAGACCCTTATACATGTGTTCATACTTCTCCCAGAATATATCCAGAGACTCGGGGCGCACAAAGGACAGATCATACTCATAGGATCCTACAGGGCTGATCAAGGCGAAGATGTCATCCGCCCTAAACCCCATCTCCAAAATCCTGTCCACCACCGACATCCTGACCGGGGAGCACCCCCACCTTCCCATCTGAGCTGCACCAAATTCCTCCTCCTGAAGGACAGGGGTGCAGATGGCAGACCTGCAGCAGACCTCCCCCCAGAACTGACAACATGATGTGACCCCCTCCTCCCAGCCAGAGCCCCAGCATAGGTCTTATTTGCAGCATTAGATGTAGTGGACCTTAAAGCTGCACCCCGCCCATTGGTTGCAGGAACCTCAGAGCCCCCGCTCTGCAAACCACCATCAGAGGCAGCAGCAGTCGCTCCATCCACCAACACACAGGCATTCCCCTTTCCAGCATTGCAAGCACTCTTATCCATATGTTTCCTTTCACTCGTGGCACTACTGCTCCCAGCAGACCCACTCACACCAGATGCTCCTGTCTCCCCCTCCCCCAACATACTGCTCTTAGGCAAAAGCCTTCCACTCCTGGTCACTCTCCCCTGGGTTTCAGCAACACCTTTCAGAGTGCTGCTGACAATTTCCCTCCCACCATTTTCTGCTGCATTTGCAGCCATCAGCAGGGATTGTCCAGCAAGTGTGTCAGATCCCCCCTTTACCTTCCCCCCAGCAGAGTCCACAGTCACAGGGTTCCTGGTATCAGAGTCCACAGTCCCAGCAGAGTGCAGTCCTGCAGGCACAGCAGCCATCTTCCCTGCAGAGCTCTGTGCACACACAGGAGGATTTCCCTCCAAAACACTGCAGTGCACATGGCTGTCCACACTGGAGTCCAAACTGGCACTTTTAATAAAGTGCAGCTTTTCTGTTTTTTTCTCCTTTACAGGACCAGGTACAGAGTCCTCACCGTCATCTTCATCCTCAGAGTCCTCAGAAAAGCGGAAAGTTCTTCCAATTAGGGAAGACTCCAATTCCTCAATGTACTTTAGCAGCCCTCCGCCATGTTCCTCTACCTCCTGTGCTGTTCCTCCAGCTTGCTGTGGAGGGAGGGAAGCAGAGGCTGACATTTCCTCCAGGGAAGCAGATCCTGAGGTGGATGGGATAGCAGGGGCAGCATCCAGGACCCCCTCCACACTCTCCACCCGTACTGCCACCGCCGATGCTGGATCCTTACCGGAGTCTCCCTTCATCTTCCGGAACCTTTCCTCATTCCGGAACTTTTCTCTGAAAGCTCCGCTCTTCTCCCTTCAGCGTCTTTACCAGATTCTGCTGCTTCTTAATGGCGACCTCCAAACCCTTCATCTCTGGCTTCATGCTCTGCTCTCTTGCTGCTCCATGACGTCCTCCAAACCCTTCATCTCCGGCTTCATGCTCTGCCTCTTGCTGCTCCATGACGTCCTCCAAACCCTTCATCTCCGGCTTCATGCTCTGCCTCTTGCTGCTCCATGACGTCCTCCAAACCCTTCATCTCCGGCTTCATGCTCTGCCTCTTGCTGCTCCATGACTTGTCATGGAGAACTTTCTTTTTCTTGTAGTCAGTTTTCAGACTCACCAACTTTTCCTCCTCCTTTGCGATTCTCACCAGATAATCAGCAACCCCCGCTCTCTAAAGACAGGGAGGGATTCCCCACTTTTAGGGCCACAGCCAAGGTCTTCAGGTGCTGGTAAAGTATGGGAAGGCAAGCTGGGTCCCTCAGGGGGAGCATGGTCTGAGCCTAGCCCAGAAGAGGCCATGTTTCTGGGCCAGGCGAGCAGGCCTGGCCCCCTAGTGCCTGGAGAGGAGAGCACCTGCAGCACAACCTCTCTGGTGCAGAGTGTAAGCTCCTCTGTACAGAGACTGATGGGACTGCGGGGGAGGGGACATTAGAGCGTAAGCTCCTCTGGTGCAGAGACTGATGTGACTGTGGGGGGAGGGGACATTAGAGCGTAAGCTCCTCTGGTACAGAGACTGATGTGACTGTGGGGGGGGACAATAGAGTGTAAGCTCCTCTGGTACAGAGACTGATGTGACTGTGGGGGAGGGGACATTAGAGTGTAAGCTCCTCTGGTACAGAGACTGATGTGACTGTGGGGGAGGGGACATTAGAGTGTAAGCTCCTCTCTGGTGCAGAGACTGATGTGACTGTGGGGGGAGGGGACATTAGAGCGTAAGCTCCTCTGTACAGAGGCTGATGTGACTGTGGGGGGAGGGGACATTAGAGCGTAAGCTCCTCTGGTACAGAGACTGATGATGTGACTGTGGGGGAGGGGACATTAGAGTGTAAGCTCCTCCGGTACAGAGACTGATGGGACTGTGGGGGAGGGGCATTAGAGTGTAAGCTCCTCTGGTACAGAGACTGATGTGACTGTGGGGGAGGGGACATTAGAGTGTAAGCTCCTCTGGTACAGAGACTGATGTGACTGTGGGGGAGGGGACATTAGAGTGTAAGCTCCTCTGGTACAGAGACTGATGTGACTGTGGGGGAGGGGACATTAGAGTGTCAGCTCCTCTGGTTCAGTGTCCAGTATTCCTCGGTGTGTTTTCTCCTTTATGGCGCAGCCTCTCTGACACAATGATGGAGTATTAGTGAGGACTTCGTATATTCGATGTCTGGCTCTCCTGACCACACAAGTCCCGTTTCTTAGATTTAGAACATGTCTGTCACTCCTGAAAACCTTCCAAGGTAAAGAATTCTCATTCGCTCGCCATTCAATCAGTCTGTCAGCCGGAAGGTTTTCTTTGGAAAGGACCCGACAATATCATAAAGAAAACCATTCGGCTTCATTCAGAATAATATTTTTCTTCTGGATGTTTCGGATCTTTCCATCTTCGGTCCAAACACATTCCTCATTCCGGAGTCCCCGGGCGTGTTGTGTCGCCCTCTTTGTATTAGGATCAGTTATAAGTATGAATCTCTGTTGATGTTGTGATCTTTGCTCCAGGATTGTATCTCAGATGAGTCGACATTTGGTGAGCGACTTTCTGCAACAATTATTGGTGATCTGCAAACGATGGGAGGAAATAAATGACGGCAATCTGATGGGCGATTCACTTCTGAGTGGGCACTGGCGGCTGGAACCTTGTATCTCCAGAGAAGATTTCCTACAATATTTGTGTCTCTGCCCCTCCCACAATGGGGAGATTTTCCCCCAGTAGTTTGTGTCTCTTCCCCTCCCACAATGGGGAGATTTCCTCCCAGTAGTTTGTGTCTCTGCCCCCCCCACAATGGGGAGATTTCCCCCCTGTAGTTTGTGTCTGTGCCCCTCCACAATGGGGAGATTTCCCCGCAGTAGTTGTGTCTCTGCCCCTCCCACAATGGGGAGATTTCCCCGCAGTAGTTTGTGTCTCTGCCCCTCCCACAATGGGGAGATTTCCCCCCTGTAGTTTGTGTCTCTGCCCCTCCCACAATGGGAGATTTCCCCCCAGTAGTTTGTGTCTCTGCCCCTCCCACAATAGGGAGATTTCCCCCGCAGTAGTTTGTGTATCTGCCCCTCCCACAATGGGGAGATTTCCCCGCAGTAGTTTGTGTCTCTGCTCCTCCCACAATGGGGAGATTTCCCTGCAGCAGTTTGTGTCTCTCCCCCTCCCACAATGGGGAGATTTCCCCCTGTAGTTTGTGTCTGTGCCCCTCCCACAATGGGGAGATTTCCCCGCAGTAGTTGTGTCTCTGCCCCTCCCACAATGGGGAGATTTCCTGCAGTAGTTTGTGTCCTGCCCCTCCCACAATGGGGAGATTTCCCTGCAGTAGTTTGTGTCTCTGCTCCTCCCACAATGGGGAGATTTCCCTGCAGTAGTTTGTGTCTCTGCCCCTCCCACAATGGGGAGATTTCCCTGCAGTAGTTTGTGTCTCTGCCCCTCCCACAATGGGGAGATTTCCCCGCAGTAGTTGTGTCTCTGCCCCTCCCACAATGGGGAGAGATTTCCCTGCAGTAGTTTGTGTCTCTGCCCCTCCCACAATGGGGAGATTTCCCTGCAGTAGTTTGTGTCTCTGCCCCTCCCACAATGGGGAGATTTCCCCCCAGTAGTTTGTGTCTCTGCCCCTCCCACAATGGGGAGATTTCCCCCGCAGTAGTTTGTGTATCTGCCCCTCCCACAATGGGGAGATTTCCCCGCAGTAGTTTGTGTCTCTGCTCCTCCCACAATGGGGAGATTTCCCCGCAGTAGTTTGTGTCTCTGCCCCTCCCACAATGGGGAGATTTCCCCGCAGTAGTTTGTGTCTGTGCCCCTCCCACAATGGGGAGATTTCCCTGCAGTAGTTTGTGTCTCTGCCCCTCCCACAATGGAGAGATTTCCTGCAGTAGTTTGTGTCTCTGCCCCTCCCACAATGGGGAGATTTCCCTGCAGTAGTTTGTGTCTCTGCCCCTCCCACATTGGGGAGATTTCCCTGCAGTAGTTTGTGTCTCTGCCCCTCCCACAATGGGGAGATTTCCCCCTGTAGTTTGTGTCTGTGCCCTCCCACAATGGGGAGATTTCCCCGCAGTAGTTGTGTCTCTGCCCCTCCCACAATGGGGAGATTTCCCCGCAGTAGTTGTGTCTCTGCCCCTCCCACAATGGGGAGATTTCCCCGCAGTAGTTTGTGTCTCTGCCCCTCCCACAATGGGGAGATTTCCCTGCAGTAGTTGTGTCTCCTCCGGATATTATGGGCCATTCTGTAGCCGTGTCACTCTTACTGTCGGAATCCCTCCCTGCGCCGATCTCCTCCCTCCATCTCTGGAGGTCTCCATGGTGGCCTCTGCTATATTCTGCAGAAGA